TTCGTGTTCCTCCAATGGCAAGGAGTAAGTGTTCTGAATGTAATAAGTCAGCGCATTTACCAGCTCCGGTTTTCGAGTGGAGAAAGTAGTAATTCGAGACGTAGAGGGTCGTGAGAGTTTTTTTTTTTTTTTTAAAGTTTGACGGATAGATATTTAACGTGGAATTTAACACTTAAAGAACTTCGAGGGGTCAAGACGTTGGACAAAGCAAAAGGTGATCCGCCGTTTCTGAACAAGTGCGTAACTGAAAAGTAGGGCTTGAAAATTCGGTTTCTAAGCCTGTTTAATCGAGAAAGTGAAATATCGAAGAGACGTAGAACTCGCCCACACAACATACGCTAAATACTTTCTTTCTCGAATCTTTGGTCATATTCCCCTCCGTATTCACCTCTTGAAGGGAGATCTAGGAATTCGTAGGTTGTAACTCGAGGGGTTAACAACAGCCACTGACTGGCAGGGCTCCGGTCGTTTTGTCTTCTGAGGGCTGGATACAAGTAAACTGATGGTGAGTTTGATTCGCTTGCATGTGCCATCGAAACGAACGAACGAATTTTCCATCGAAACGAACGAACGAATTGAAAAGAAATCAGCTGAATCAAAAAAGGGCTTATTCTTCGAATTTCAGCTCACTTCATACAGTTTTAAGAAGCGCATGAAGCAAATTCACGCGCATTTTGTACTGAAAATTCGTTTTTCTTGAAGCACTCTTAACTGAAGTAATTTTAATCAATTAACACGATACTGTAAGAAAAGAAAAACGGGTTGTTCTAAACCTGATACTTTCAATCATTTTCACAGTACTTGTTCTTTGGCTGATAATGTGTTCTTTCTCGCTGTGTCTATATGTGGAAATATTGGTTCTTAAATGTCGTCTAAAGTGCACCACTCACTGTCAATTTAAATTTGCTCCTAATTTAAAGATAAAAAAATTCACGACATAAAATGAAGCTGTCTTTCTAAACACTGGTACGAGTTTATCAGTAAGTGCTGCGACTTCCTAGTTTTTAGTACAGTTCGAAGATAGGAAGGATCTCAATTTGTGATTTAATGTTGCTAGCATGACGAGCAACATTTTTTACTATACATTCAACGATCTCTTGCTTTAGCTTACGATCTCTTTGGCGCATACATTCAACAAGAGGATAGATAATAATTGGAGATATAAAATCCAGGATCGAAGAGCTTGGCATAGCTGGTCTTAGCATACGGAAATGTAGCACTAGCATCATTCACATGGAGTCAGCGCACCAAGTTACTAAATATTCTTAGCACTTGAATGCATAAAGGTAAACAGTTTACACGAGTTATGCAAAAATGCGTGAAAATTCCGGCATAAATAACACGAAACTAAGCACTAAAATCAATTAGCATTTTTACGCCGCTCAGTTTAGTCGTCTTGCCGATTGAAAATGAGGATGATTGATGGTGGCGGCCAAGTCAGCTTGGATTTCTCCCAGACTGATCGGGCATTTGCAGGAAGTTTCTGGTGCATCCCCATCGTTTTCCATCTGTTTGTTGTAGCGCTTGTAATGCTACATCCTGAAGTACGCCTACAAGCCTGGTATGATTTCTGAATTTTTAGTCGGGCTGCATGACCTTCTCGCTCGCAAACCACTCGCTTGTCGAAATCACGATTGCAGGGTGATTTTCCAAAGGACGTTCACGCAGCTTCTGGCCGCCGCGATTTTCATCGA